GTATATATATATATATATATATATATATATATATATATATATATATATATATATATATATATATATATACACATACACATATTATATATTACACACACACACACACACACACACACACACACACACACACACAAAGTAGAAACCACTCCCAGTGAACACAACGTTACAGGTAACGTACATGTAGTTATAATTTCTTATTCAACAATGTAACTATTATATAACATACGTGTTATGTAACAGTTACATTGTTGAGTAGGAAATTACAATTAACATATACGTTACATGTAACATTTTATTTGCTGGGTCTATAATCTTGTAAATTTTAGCTATTATTAACTCTACCACTATAAATATGATTATTTGTGCTATTTTCAAGTTTATGTATATAGGGTGTCTCGAACCATACCAGAGCTAATATATAAGGTAATAGAAATATGTTTTTTATTATGGAATTTTACTCTACGTAAAGAAATAAACAATTTTTATTTGAAAAAAATTTTTATATGACCTCTATTTTCAAAGATATTTACGGAAATATCTATAAAATTTATTTCAATAATTTTTTACTCAAATTCTATCAACTTTACCAAAAAATAGGAAGAAATAAAAATTGTTTATTTTTTCTTATAGAGCTCTGAGAATTTTTTCAGAATTTTTTAATTAACTTTTTAGTATTGCATTTTCATGCATTTTCATGAAGTTTATAAAACATTCTGAGAAAATTCTCAGAGCTCTATGAGAAGAAATTAGATATTTTTTATCTCTCGCTATTTTTCGGTAAAGTTGATAGAATTCGAGTAAAAAATTATTGAAACCAATAATTTTGTAGATATTTCCATAAATATTTTAGAAAATAGAGATCTTATAAAAATTTCTTTCAAATAAATGTTTGTTTCTTTATGTGGAATAAAGTTCTGTAATAAAAATTATATGTTTCTATTTAAAAAAGCAAAATTGTCCTTGATCTGACCTTGACAACGCTACCCGAGGTCAAAATTGATACGGTCATTAAATAGATTTTTTGAAACTCTATAACTTTTGTCTGAAACATTTTCCTATAAAATGCTTTTTTTTTTTAGATATTCGACCATTGCCACAATTTTGATACATCCTGTAGAGCTAGAATAGATCAGAGTGAGTAATGGAATCGGTCTCCTTTTTTAAACAACCACGTAAAATTTCGAGTTAATAAATAAAATAGATAGGCTAATCAGAGCGCGGCAACGTGGCAGGCGGGACATATGGCTCGCTGCGGCTGGCGAAGAAAATGGACGATTGCTCGCGGTCCTATTTTATAAGCCAGAGAGATGGGTCGTTTGGTAGCAGCTACCAAATGAGATAGGCTCGCGAGCAATCGTCCATTTTCTTTGCCGGCTGCGGCGAGCTGTATGTCTCGCCTGTCGCGTCGCGCGCTCTGATTAGCCCATTAATTTTATTTAATAACTCGAAATTTCACGTGGTTGTTTAAAAAAAGACCAATTTCATTACTCACTCCGACTTATTCTAGCTATATTAGCTCTGGTACGGTATGAGTCAAACACACTGTATATGGAAATCTTTTCAGACAGCACATACACCTTCAGAGAACATCTTGTTGATGTCTTGAGGATCTTAGGATGTCAAGGACATCCTCAAGACATCCCTTGGAAAGTTCCCTGGGATATAACTCTCGACGTAGGAAAGAAGAGTGGATGTCGCGTCCGGATTCGTTGCACTTTTTGAAATCCTTTTTCTGAATATCTGTACAAGACATACGATCGGTTCACGATATTTGTAAAATTTGTTTACGAATTTGATATTTAGGTGTTCGCAGTATTATCCGGATACCCAGGGATATTCAAAAATTCGCAAATGGGCGTCTGCGGGTAAATTGAGGATAAGAGTTTTCCGAAATCTGGAAAAAATTACGATTCAAATAATAAAATAATTATAAAGTAGGATATGTCATGCTATCTTAATATGCGGAAAATAAAATTTATCATAAGAAGTATTGTTCCTGCTTTATATGAAACTTTAGCGTAATATGATCTGTTTAACGGAAAAACAATCTTTCAGTGTTATGGGGGAGATAGACCTATTTAAATTATTTATAATCTGTTACCCGTAGATTATTCGGATATCCGCAAATATCTGGATATTCGCAAATATCCTCTATCGCAGATTATCTGGATATCGGAAACGGAAACGAATTAAAAATTTCCGGAATTCGAGAATCCGAATTCTCGGATATTTAGATATGCGAATTCTCCTACTTTTAGTAGGGAATGGTATGGCATACATATGACACTGACTGTATATGTTCGCTTAATTACTTAAAACGTTATGTATTTACAGAATGGACTAACCTCAAGAGGGACAAGTACACAAAACTATATTTTATATACACACGTGTATATATTGTCTGCGCAATCTCGAGTAAAAATACTTTAAACGGTGCGAACAGACTTTTAAGCATGTTAGGGCTAAATGTTCTCGAACACACTCGGGAAACCTAACTTAAGCTTTCAGCCGAAGACGTTAGACGAGAGCTAAGTTTATAAAGTACTTTCATAGACTGTTCAGTTCGTCCTTCAGTCATCTCATCTACGTGATCACTAGAAGAAAAGTAAAATTAGGAGATTGTACGATATCGTACATTTTCGCAACACACTCATTAAATAATACTGTATGCTTTATTAATAATAGCAATAATTTCTCTCTTCCTTTCTCTTTCTGAAATATTATAAGGGATTAACACATCTATTCGAAGTTGCATTTTAATATGATTCTAAATTTCATTTGGCCAACGTGAGAATTACACTTAATTTCATCGCAAACAAAATTCAAATCGCACTCGCTATTTTCGATACTGAATATGTGTATCTTGACCGAAGAAAATTCGTTGTTCCTCATTCAATTTTTCATTTAACTTTACCGAACTGCTGCACCAAGAGTCGTGGCTAGGTGTTCGGGCTGTATTCAGAGAAGCTCGTCTGATTGCTATGTAAACATTAATTTTTTTAGTATCTCTATTAACGAAGTTAATATACTTATATATGTATATCAAGAAATAAATATCGCAAGAACACAAGAGAAAAGAAAACCTTTAGAAGAACAGGCGCGCACAATCGCTTAGGCACAGAGGAAGGAGAGAGGGAGGATATTAGAGTCTTGACCTTGAGAGGATCAAATATAGAGATTATCGGCGGATTGAAACCGATATCCGATTAGTCTCAAAGTCGCTTCGATTAACAGGGTATCTTTCCTTTTCTCTCTCTCTCTCTTTCTTCATTTACATAACATCATAGAGTGATAGCAATTCGAAGGAGGATGGTTCACCGATTAGTCGGCTGTCAAGAACGTCAAAATGCAAATTAGCAGCGACGATATCGCACAATCAATATATCGATGCAACCGAATATGTGTCGTCCAGTCTACTATATCACAGAAACGGAGCTTTCCATTTCACCTGCAGTCTTTTTCTCGTCGTCGTCGCTGCCGCCATCGTTGTCATCGCCACCTTTGTTGTCGTTATTATCATCGTCGTTGTCATTGCAGCGATCATCGATTTGTTCGTCGGAGACTAGGGACGCGTCTTTCGTCAGGACCAAGGAGTCTTCGCCGATAGGCGCGGCGGCCTCGACTAGATTCTCAACGGATACTGCCATCGTTGGTTCCTCATGGCAAAAGCTGCGGCGCAAGGACTGCTGAGTTCGTACGGTGCCCCGACGGATACTGCTACGTAGCAAATTTGCCACGTCGGCGGCGGTCAAGTTTGAGCCGGACATGCTAGTAGTGTTCGCGTACGACCTGCGGCTGCGATCGAGCGTTGAATGGGTGCGCTCGATCGAGCGTCTCTCCACCATGGCGATCCTGCTAGTAGTGCGATCGATGGTATTCGGCCGGTGCCATTCGATCGCTGTGTCGCTACTCAGATTGCGACGACAGTTTCCGGTGTTGGTCACGTCCGGTCGTGGCTCGGTCATGTGGATCGCTATGTCGTGCAACGTTGGAATGCTACTGCCGCCACCACCGCTGCCACCTTGTTGGTTCATCTCCACCAATACGGTGGCATAGTCCGGCGGCGGTGGCTGCAACGCTGATCTCTGCCTCGGCATTACGCTACTCTCGCCTAAGACGTTTGCAATCCTGCGCACACTACGCCGGAAACTCTGGCGCAGCATCTTCGCGATCCTCGCGCCGGTCGCCGTAGTGTAGCTCGGTGGCGGTGTATACTTCGGTGGCGGGTCCTCAAAAGGTATCTCCGTCGTCGTGGTAGGTAAAATCCCATTGCCATGTAAGCTAGTACCGGTGTCGCTGCCGATTTGGGTGTGCGCATCGCGAGCGTCCTCTGGCTCTAATGGTGGCCGATAGAGTAACTGGATTCTCTATGATCAAAACCGAATTATTCAGTTAAGAGCGATAACGTTATACTTTGATGATTTTGGAAGCATATTTATATATGTCATATATTTTTTACACGTTTCTAGTAGATTAGTGCAAAGGATTCGTCATTTCTCTATTAAATTCTGAGTTGTAGAAAGTTACTGATTTCGATATTGAAAAACTAAACAGAAAATCTTAGATAAATCTCTGAGAAAACACTCAGTCCACATAGAAATTGACATCCAATGGATGTCCATCAAACTTCCATAGCTCCATAGGATGTCTATCTCTATGAAGGAAGTCAGATAGATGTTCATTAGAGATCTATCTTACCTCCATAACTCCATAGGATTCTATATCTACAATGGAAAGCAGATAGACGTTCATTAGAAATCCATTCTACATTTAGAGTTCTATGGGATTTTATTTCCACGATAGAAATCAAATAGATCTCCATTAGACATCCATCCTACCTCTATTATCCTACTTCTATACCATGAACCATACTTCTATTAACCTACTTCTATCAATGATCCATATAACGTCTGTTTGTGGTCCACCAAGGCTCCACGAACCTTCTATTAAGGGGGAAAATCACTATAGAGAGTCACAAAAATCAAATTTTTCTTGCTTTAAATAATAGTACTATATATATAGAATATATTCCCAAAGTTCAGTTTTAAAATTTAAAATCTAAATGGTCGTACAGAACTATTTTTCGCACGTAGGTACGAGCGCGAGATCTGAGCGCACAGTGACTCTCAACGGCTTTGTTTCGAAAAACCCGTTTGAAAAAACGGAAAAAACCATTCTAAAAAAGATCTATTAGAAAGGTGTTTAGGTGGGCACATAAAAAATGCGAATAAAATTTTTAATATTACAATTTAGCGGTTAGCTCCAAAGCATGTACATTCAGGCCTTAAAATCACTGAAATCACCGTCTATATTGCCGCTGGGATATTTAATGAAGACTACTTTGCTGTTTTGAAAATAATGGAAATATTAGAAATTAAAATTTGACCTCTATGTAAGTTATATGCTGATAGTAAGGATGCCGAGCGAATAAAGAGACAGGAGCGCCGCAGCTTAAGTTGTAGTAAAGAGGCTCGAATAGCAAGTAAACAACAACCAACTTGAGCAAAATGACTTGTTTGAAGAAGCGGAAGATTTATGAGAATGTATGGGACAAGAATAGCGGATTAGTAGAAAACAGCTGTAAGTTTACAATTTTCTATACCTCAAACTTTAAACGCGTTTTTCTCGAAACGACTTCTTCCAAACTGGTGTGCAAGATAATTAAAAAACTATTTGACCAATCGAGTTGCCCTTTTACATACATTTAGTTTATTATATATGCTAGTCGATAAACCTATAAAATCGATAACATTATTTATTTAAACAATTTTTTCGCATAAGTAAAAATGGATTTTTATAAGTAAAAATCAACCTTTTGATTCAAGGGCTGCTTTTTTGTCAATTACAAAATTTCTTTTCAACTTGTTTAGGTTGATCGACAAATTATGTTCATAAAGAGTAAAAAAGTTTTCCTTATTTTGGTTTCAGACGAATACAACAGGAGCCAGAGTGCACACTGTTTTGCGCCGACTCTGCCGCGACACTCAACACGCTTCTTTCACTACATACAATTTATAAACATTTTTCTTAACTTAAAAATATTTTTTTAATACTTTAATGTACTATATAAGCAAAAACATTACAAAGTTGGAAAGCGATTGAATAAGTACGTTCTTCAAAAAAAATTCACGAAAATTCCCTTATTTTGGACGTTCTATAATGATTTCCCTCATTAATGGCACAAGTTACGTCTAATGGACATCTATAAAGATGTCTAGTAGTGGTTTATTCGATACGCGCAATGTCTATTGGGCGTCTATTGGAAGTCTTATGAACATCCAGTGGAAACTCTACCAGACAGCACACAATATTTATTATAAACATTTATAAATATTTATTTCGAATTACTTTTTTTAAATATTATATAAATATTTCATAAATATTTTATATACATAAAGAAAAAAAGTATCAAAATATTTTCAAAATATCTTTATTCAAAATATTATTAAAATATAGACTAAATATTTTATACAATATTTATAGTAAACAAAAAATAAATATTTGAAATAATATTTTGTAAATATATTATATAATTATTATAATATATTTATGCAATAATTATATATATATATATATATATATATATATATATATATATATAATATAATATATATATATATATATATATATAATATAATATATAATATTATATATAAATATATTTATATAATTATTATACATGAAAAAAATAAATGTAACTATTTATAATTAATAAAAAAATAAGAAAATCGAAATTTAAATTTTGGTAATGTACACTGAAAAAAATTTTTAAATTAAAGAAATATATTTTAAACACATATTAACGCCCAAATATGCTGAAATTTTACGTTGATTTAAGCCATTTATTTTACTATGGAAATGAGGTCTGTTGTTTATAAAGAGAACCATTCCTACCAATTTCGATGTCACTTAATCGAAAAGTGTTAAAAAAATTTTTTTAAATCACAATTTATGCAAAATTTTTGGAAAATAAAATAAAAAACCGCATGTTTTTAGAGCTAAATTTTTCTCCTTCCGTTATTTTCTCCATAAAAACGTATTAGTATCGGGAAAGTGTCTAAAACGTGTTTCCGACACTTTAACTTAAAAATTATGCCATGGGAATTTTTTTCAACAAACATGGCGGTACCAAAATGGTGGTTGATTTGAAGCGTTTTATTCAAATTTTTGTTTATATTTGGTTATCGAAATCGTTTTAAGGTCAATATTACTAAAAAATTACATAATAATTTACATAGTAATTATATAGTAAATTTTCGATAACCAAATATAAACAAAAATTCGAATTAAACGTTTCAAATTGACCGTCATTTTGGTACCGCTATGTTTATTGAAGAAAATACTTATGACATATTTTTTAAGTTAAAGTGTCGGAACACACTTTTCCGAGCGATACTAACACGTTTTATGGAGAGAATAGTAGAAGAAGAAAAAATTAGCCCTAAAAACATGCGTTTTTTAAATTTTATTTTGCAAAAATTTTGCATAAATTGCGATTTTATTTTAATTTTCTCAACGTTATTCGATAAAGCGACATTGAAGTTGGTAGAAATTGTACTCCTCTTATAGAAATATCATACTAAAAATCATTGATAATTACTTATTATCCAATATTTTTAATACTGAAAATAAGTAATTATCAATGATTCTTAGTATGATATTTCTATAAGGGTCTTATAAACAACAAAACTTATTTTCGTAGTAAAATAAATGGCTCAAATCAATGTAAAATTTCAGCACATTTGGGCGTTAAATGGGTTAAACATAATTTCTTAACTTGAAAAAATATTTGTTAGATTTTAGAAGATATGTAATAAATATAAAATAATATTTTTTAAAAATTTGTGTAATGAACTGTAAAGTTATGAATTTCTAGACAAAAAATTATTTTTAAATTTAAAATATCTATACATAAGAATAAGCAAATGATTTTCTGAGAAGAAAAGAAGAAGAAATTTATTTTTTTTAAATGTAAAATTTAATTTAATTTATTTAAATAAATATTTGCTCGTTTTAAATAAAATACGAGTAAATCATTTTATAAATCTAATATTTAAAATTATTAATTACTATAAATACTAATTATTATAATATTAATTATATATTATAAATTATTTTCTAATATTAAAAGCATCTTTTTTGTGTTTCAAATTAAAGTTCTTTTATTATATATCAGAAAACAATTTATCTAAATTTACAAAATAATTTATTTGTATTTTACTTACTTTTAAAACACACACATAAATATTTTTTAAATATACCTTTTATTATTTTATAAATATTTACCTAAATATTTTTGTGACCTTAGATTCAATAGATCATAAATATTTAATAGATTATATTTAATACATTAATAGATAAATATTTAATAGATTATATTCAATAGATTATAAATATTATAAAAATATTGGTAAATCTTTAGAAAAACGAATCCAGCAGCTATGACCTTGACTTTGACAAACGTTATAGAGGTCACCCTTCTGAATAACCTTCAGAAGGTTTTAGCTGTCGCTCATTGTTCGTTAAAAAGTTATTAACAAAAGAAGTTGCATAAAATGAATGTATTTTTTGGACACTGTATATACAAAACATGGAATTTTTAGGCTAAGAAGGTGCTAGCCGTTTGCACATATATACACACACACACTGCTCGCCAGCAAGCGCGCTCGCTCGCCCGACGGGGCGGACTCACGGTGGGTGCGTATGTACAGGGTGTCCCGAAGTCCCATGATGACCCTTGGTGAGAACGTAGAACGGATTGAGGTGAGCAAGAAAGTCCTGTGCCGTTTTGCGATATTCGCAATAGTTTTTGAGAAATTAATTTTTTTGTCTCAACAAATCAGCGTACAGAAAGCGGCAGCGGAAAGAAAGATGCCTTCGGCCGACGTGCGACCGTGACACTCGCGAATCGTATCTCGCCGCATCCCTCCGCCCATAGCTACGAGACATAGACTCTCTATGTCTCGTAGCTATGGGCGGAGGGATGCGGCGAGATACGATTCGCGAGTGTCACGGTCGCACGTCGGCCGAAGGCATCTTTCTTTCCGCTGCCGCTTTCTGTACGCTGATTTGTTGAGACAAAATAATTAATTTCTCAAAAACTATTGCGAATATCGCAAAACGGCACAGGACTTTCTTGCTCACCTCAATCCGTTCTACGTTCTCACCAAGGGTCATCATGGGACTTCGGGACACCCTGTATATACGCACCCACCGCGAGCCCGCCCCGTCGGGCGGGCGAGCGCGCTTGCTGGCGAGCAGTGTTGTGTGTGTGTGTGTGTATACGTGCGTATGGTTAGCACTTTCCTAAAATTTCCATGTTTTTGTATATATAGTGTCCAAAAATTATATTCATTTTATGCAACTT